GATTTTTGGTCATAGTGCTGTGCTATTCTGCTCCTAGATGCTTACCGAATTGCACTTTCCAAAGGAGGATAGTAAAAAGAGTAATGCTGTGACCAGGGACCAGGCCAGATGACTGTTTGCAAGCTGAAAAGCTGGCAACTCTGACTACTGACCTCATAGTAAGGTGGGGCTTCCAACAGCTCAGGCAAGGCAGCAGGATGCACCTGCTCAATCACTGGATGATACCTGGGCAGCAAGCACTCAAATCTAAACCAGTAGCCAAGGAGCTCCAGCCAGCATCCTCCACCCATCACTGGCTGGAAAGGCTAAGAGTTCAGACAGGAGGGCATGCAATATCAATGATTCTGGGAGGCAAGGACCCAATCCCTTTCAGAAGATACCAGTATTTGGCTTCTAATTACAGGCTTAGGAGGCAACAGCACATTAAATATGTAATCTTACAGAAAGTAAGCGGTAGTGCTCATTATAACACACACCTGACACTATAATTTTTTAAGAGACCTAACCAATGTCTTCGTGACCTGTATCTAAACTGTGGGCCATTTCCCCATTACTACTCACTCTGAAAACTTCGAAAGTGTTTCAAAAGAAGGGCACAGAATTCTTGAGTAGTAGAAACATAAATACCAGCTAAGAAAGCAAAGATTCAGAAGTCTATTAACCAGCAATTCAGTGGCAAACCTGCACTACAACTTGAGAGTCATCACTCTTCTCCTTAGAGTGGGTCTGTCCTGGAGGATTGCTTAGTCTGCCCACCCCTGGGTCACAGAAGCTGTCCATGGTGAGGGCCAAACTCTGGGTCTCAAAGATGAACACACTAAACAGACAATCTGCTCACAGGCAGAGCTATGACCCAAGACACTTCCTCTGTGGAAGAAACAGGAGAATGCGAAGGGCTTACTCTGGTATGCCTCTGCTCTACCATTGGGAAGGGGAGATGGTCAGGGGTCATAGTGGGGAGGAGTCCTACCCAAAGCACTCATGATTCTGTAACTCCTCCCAGGTCCTTTTGTCCTCCCTCAAATTACAGGAATTTTAAAACTGAAACTACACGAAGGAAAAACAGGAGAGAAAATGGCAGGGATCCATGTCTCCTCTGACCTCTAGTTCCCACTTTTGTCCTTATTCTCTGGAAAAATGTGAAAATTTATTCCCATAACCTCAGCTGGCTCGGGACAGCATCCAGCACCAGGCTGCCCATTCACTCCCTCAGGGCATATCTGTTCAGCACCCTCCACAGAACCACCAGGGACTTTGTGTCAGGGACTGTGCATGACACAAAGATGGTGAAGGCACCCTCGGAGTCTTTAAAGAGCTTGAGGCTAGTGGAGAACATAAGGCCTGGGCAATGGCAAGTGATGTTGGAGGAAGATCAGTATCTGAGCCCTGGGAGAAGTCCAGATGGGGCCAAGAGGGCTGAGAATGTTGGGGAGCAAGAGGCTACTCCCAATCTGCCCCTGCTAGGCACCAAGCTGAGGTCACACAACCATCCAGACTAACTCAGGCTCTAGAAAATGCCTCATTTGTCCCCTTGAGAAATGCCCCCAGTCAACAGTGAGCAGTAGTAAGAATAGCAGAAGTATAGTGGCAGTAATAATAGCAGCAATAATCATATATTACAGGAATGAACACTTCCTGGGGGCTAAGGACTTTTTACGTGTCATCTGATTTCATCCTAAGAATAACTCCATAAGATAGATATACTCTACTCTCATTATCCACCTTTTACATATGAGAAAACTAAGATGTAGAGAAGTTCTCTTATTCATTTGATAAATTGTTTTTTTTAATGTGTCTACCATGAACCTGATACCAATACCACTCTGACCATAAGTGACCATAAGACAGAAAAATCCATGACTGTATATGGTGCATACTTTCTAGTGGGAGACAGATAACTGGCCCAAAGTCACTCAGCCCAGTAAAGCAGTGGACACTGTATTGGAACTCAGCCACTCCACACACAGAACCTCTACTTTCAAACTCCTTGACAAGCAAACTGCCTGGGCCTAGCCACAGCCACAGCCACTTATAATCCTCATTACTAAAATACCATATTTCCTCCCTGTTAAGATGCTTGGCTTTTTCACATTTTAATATCTGAAATCTGGCTGCATTTTTTAATATATGTTGAAAGAAATCTGTGGGCTGTAGGAAATGAAGTCATAATGGAGCTGATTTGCTGTTCAAGTATGGATTTAGCTGAATATATATACGATTATTTGTGCAGTTTAGTTTTCTGCAGATTTTGTTTTTTGTATTTCGTTTTGTTTTTAATGTAGGCTCCACACTCAGCATGAAGCCCAATGAAGGGCCTGAACTCATGACCCTGAGACTGAAACCCAAGCTAAGATCAAGATCAAATGCTTAACTGACTGAGCCACCCAGGTGCCCCAGCAAATATTAACATTAAATGAAGTTCAATTTTGGCTTAAATTAAGATCCCTGATGTTACTTCAAATATATTCCAATAAATTCACTACAATGCAATATTGAAAGAAAAGGCTATTGTACATACAAGACATTACCCGTTATGAAATATAACTCAGGGAAGTGGAAATCACCAAATCTCTTGGAACATATCACAGAATTTTCAAAGTCTAAAGAGCTAGCAGCCAAACAACAAACATCTAATTGTCAAAAGCTTCCAGCAATTTGTAATCAATTAAGGGGAAATAAAACTAGAAATAGAAAACTCAGGCCAAACCCCACTGTTCTTTGATAAGCCTCAAAATTATATTGTCAATCTTAGCAGTGCCAGGCTGGCTCAGCTGGTAGAGCATGTGACTCTTGATCTTGGGGTTGTGAGTTAAAGCATGGGTTCAGAGGTTACTTAAAAATACAGCTTTAAAAAAAAGAAAACTATATACTGCCAATCTTAAAGGTATCAAAGGGATCAAGATCATCAGTAATCTACTTTATGGAAAGCACCACATAACTCTGAAGTTACAAATAATTTGAACGTGATAAGCCCTCACCTGAAGAATGCTTACTATGATCTCAGAGTGGGATGGGCCAGCAGGAGTTAAAGGTAGCAGGGCTTCCCACCTCAACCCAAATACCCACAAGGTTGATGCAAATCATGCTGCTTATATGGCTTTTTACATTTCTTCAGACTGTACCTGAGGACACACTCAAGCAGGGCCCAAACTGGCCAACAGTACCAACAACTGCACGGTCAACCAACTAACTAGTTCATTCCTTAAAATTGTGCCAATTTGGTAGCACAATCCAGAGGAGACATTAAACAGGCTTGACAAGAAGTGAGCAAGTCTTTGCTGCTGAGGCCGGGAAAGGAAGGGGCCCATGGCCTAGCCAGAGGCATTCTTTATCCCGTAGGTGATATCTCACATCAGTTAATGGAAGAAGGAGGCTCTTTGGGCCTAAGGGACAATCCAGCTTGTTGGGCCAGTCACCTTCTGGAAATCCCTCTGAATTCTTGGGGCAGCCCATGATTCCAATCAAGAACTGCTTTACTTCTTCTTTTTTTTTTTTTTTTCAACTGCTTTACTTCTTGCTCAAACTTTTGCAGGACCACAGGCAGGGGCTTGTGATTCCACCCTATTCTCTAGATATGTGGCTTTGGACACTCAGCTCCAATGTAAGAACCTTCTCAAAGGCTTTTCCTTAAATATTTCCTCAGAAAAGGACTTCAAGCTTGTACACTATGAGTGGACTAAATCAATCCAAGAAGCACTTATTGAGCATCTCTGAGGATGCAGAGAATAACAAGATGTGGCTGCTACCAACAGGAAACTCTCAGTTGAGTGAAGGAGGTAGAATGGGATTAAAACTAACTGCAATAGAAAGCAGAACAAGGTGATTTATCCTAGAACACAGAGGAGAAAGGAATAAATTCCAGATGCATGATCAATAAACAACTCAGCTAATACTGAATGAGCACCTTCTAAGTACCAGGTATGACACCAGGCATTTTACACACTTTATCCCATTTAACTGTATCCCACAACTACCCTGTGGAATACGCCCTATTACTATCCTCACCTTATACATGAGGGAACAGGTGAAGAAGCAATCTATCTCACCCAAGGTCACCAACTAATTTGTAAATACTAGAGATGAGATTTGGACCCTACTGGCCAACACCAAAGTTTTTGTTATTTTTCAGTACAGTAAATGACATGTCCTGGAGTACAGAAGTTCTTCCTGGTAGAAGGGGAATAGAAACTGGTTTAGAATTCAACCAGGTGGAGCTGGAAGGGAAGGATAATCCAAGCAGGAGTCAGCAAAAAGGAAGACCTAGAGGTAGGACAGATCAGCACTCATGGGTCGGCTAAAGCAGTGGGCAGAAGTCAAGCCAACAGCACCAAAGAAGTGGTATGTAGTCAGTGAGGTAGGGAACTAGGTATCAGGAGACCCAGTTCTAGTTTTGCCATGGCCACTCACTGTGTGACCTTCAGTAGATCCTATCACTCCTCTGGGCCTCAGTTTCCTCAACAGTAGAAGTTCCAATCCCCTATTAGAATAGATGTTCCCCAAAGGTCGGCTCTGGCTTAAATGCTCAACAATACTCACAAAAGGCCATGTGGGACAGTGGCTAAGACCAGGTGACAGGTAGACCATAGCTCTGCAGTGACCAGCTGAGTGACCTCAGACAAGCTAATTAACTCCTCCAAGTTACTTTTCCTCATCTGTAATTTGGGGACAAGAGCCATGCCTGCTTCTTCCAGGGCTGTGATGAAGGTTGATTAAAATGCAGAGAACAGGGCACTTAGCAAAGTCCTTGGCAAACTGTCAACATCCAGTTGATGGAGGCAGTTTTGTTGCCATCAGCAGCAGCAGCATTATTTCTTCCTAAAGAGTCCATATAGCAAAGGTGGTGGTCATGGGCCAGAAGGCCTTCTTCTAATTATTTAAAAGGAGAAAAAATAAGCTTTTTTTTTCTGGTGAAAAAGAGAAACAGCCTCACTGAACCACAAATCCCTCTCATCTACTTCCCGTGTGAGAGGCTCCTGCTTCACCAAAGGGGCATGCCATACCTTTTCCTCTGAAGAAACGGTCAGCTTGTCACTGGATATCAAGCTGCACACCTGGTCCAGACTTAGGCTAAGAAATTCTTCCCCCAGCATCACCTCTGGAAAGTGCTGCTCTGCTCAAAAAAAAAAAAAAAAAAAAAGGCTGAAGTTCAGAAAAAAAAGTCACAACTCCTGCCCTTCCGTGGCCATGGTAATCGGTGAAGCTCACAATGAAGTCCTGGGGACTCTAGGGGTGGGCATGAGGAAAAAGGACAGACAGAGAGGCAAAGAGAAAGCACATCCTGGTTGAAGGGAAACTAGCCTCTTAGTTTGGCAGCAAAGGCATCCCTCTGTGTGATCCTCCATCCTGAACATCGACAGAGATGAAAATGGAGCAGAGAGATGTGAGGTTATATTTTTTCCATGCTCCATGCAATTAATAATGGCATTGCAGAAAACCCTCACTGGGACCTGCCTACTTAATTGAGCTCATTTCCCCTCAAGGCACAAGCTGGCAGATTTGCAGATGGTGCCCCCTGCAGTTCAGCCAAACAAAAGTGGGTCAGAACTGCTGTGTGGCTGGAAGTCTCTGGGGGTTCTGGTACTAAGTCAACATTTGAAGGCTGGCGGGAGGCATCATCCTTTTGTGTCCAAAGTCAAGCCTACCACGGTCTCTGATTCACAAGGAAGCCCAACTAAGCATGTGTCCAGGCACAGAGGCAACAGAGCTGGCCCTACCACAGCTAGCAACGGTCCATGACAGGCAGACCAGCGGAAACCATTAAGATGGAGGGCAACTGGGAGACACCCAGAATGAGACAAAATACACAGGCCAGATGTTCATGCAAGGGAAATTCCAAGTATAATCCCTACCCTGACATTTGCCCAGGCCACCATCCTGTGATGGTAGAGACAGTGAAAGGTCAGTAAAGGAGTGTACATTTCAGAAAGAGGGAAACTAGACTCAAATGCTGGCTCTGCCATTTGCAAGTTGTGACCCTGAGGCAATGGCACCACCTCCCTAGGTCTCATTATCCACCTATGAAATAGAGCTACAATAGCTCCTCTTGCTTCACTCTCATGCTGTGATGGGCATTTTTGCAAGCTATGCCAAGGTACAGTGGCTCAGGAGCTGACAATTCCTGGTGCAGCAGGTTCTGGAGATCACAGGGTCCCGTGCCCCAGACCGGGCTCCTTCCTCAGGCCTCTCATGGCTCTGCCCCACTGCCCCCAGGAGCATCTATGTTCCTTGCCCTCCTTCCAGGCTATGGGTTCCCACTCTTCTTTCTTTGGTGGCTCCTCTCTGGCCTTGTGTCTTTTTGGATAATTCTAGAGGCTTCACCTTCCAGTTCCCACAGTGGGCTACCCCCTAGTGGTCTGACCAGCCCCTCCGTGCCCCGGGACATACCAGGTCAGCTGCACCTGCACAATGAAAAGGGAAGTCAGACCATGCTCAGCTCTGCTCTCACATTCATTGGCTTCCTGAAAGCCAAACCAAGATTTAAATCATTCCTTAAAAAAACCATTTCAAACTTTATTTTGAAATAATTTCAAATCCAAAGAATTCTCATATACACCCTTCATCCAGAGCCTCCAAATGTTAATGTTTTACTCTGAGATCCAGTTGTAAAAAATCTTGTCCATCTTTCACTGGACCAAAAGGGCTCCCCACATGCTCCCCACTGGCACAGTGAGATTACTCAGCTCACAATTAAGGCCTGTCCATCAAGAAGCTCAGGAATGTCTGGACATAGAAAAAAAAATTTTAAAGGCAGATCCTTTATGAAGGGAGGCAAATGCCATAAAGTAATGCTAGTCTTGCTTCTCTGTACATCAACAGGAAAAAGCCTTTAATTAAAGCTTTGATCTTAGGGTGTGCCTGGGTGGCTCAGTCCGTTAGGCATCTGCCTTCAGCTCAGGTCATGATCCCAGGGTCCTGGGACTGAGCCCTGCATCAGGCTCCCTGCTCAGTGAGGAATCTGCTTCTCCCTCCACCCCTCACCCTGCTTGTGCTCTCTCACTCTCTCTCTCAAATAAATTAATTTTAAAAACCTTTTTTTTAAAAAAAGTTAGATTTTAAGTTAGACACTCAAAAGACTTCCTTAATATTTAAGACTATACAATATTATTTTTAAATTATCCATTCCTAAAAATTTTTTTAAGATTTTATTTATTTATTCATGAGAGAGAGAGAGGCAGAGACATAGGCAGAGGGAGAAGCATGCTCCCAGCAGGGAGCCAGATGTGGGACTCGATCCTGGGACTCCAGGATCATGCCCTGAGCCGAAGGCAGATACTCAGCCACTCAGCCACCCAGGCATTTCCATTCCTAAAACTTTTTAAATAAAAGCAAGTGAACAATCTCCTTTGGGTGATGGGAATTCATTCTTGGCCTGGAAGCCCAAGAAAGCAACACGATTCTCCCTACAGGCCCTTTGTGGTCCAAGAAGTCTTTGGACCAGAGACCTCCATCTGCTGGCAACAACAGAAATAGGGGAGAGGAAAAGCAGCCACTACAGCAAGACAAAATACAAGACATCAAGACTCTGCAGACCTGCCAATGCTGAGCTCAGCAGGAGAGCCAGGCAAAGCAGCACTAACACTCCTGTGGCCCAGAGCCACACACAGGCTTCCTGCTGTATCTTTGGCTGACCAAAACCCTGACATTTGGAGGAGAGAAAAGAATGAAGGGAATAGGAGGAGTTAAGAAGTTAAAACCTGGGATATGAAAAGTACTTCCACAAAGCTCATAAAGCCGAAGGTAGATGGGCTAGGATTTGCAAAGGAAGATGAAGCACAGTGATGTGTATTCTAGGTGGTTTGGTGAACAGACCAGAGATTCTCAAAGATCAATCGAGGTAGGAAACAGTCAACCCCCACAGTTCCCCATCTCCTCCACTTTGGGGCACCACAGAATTTGAATTTAGGTCCCTTCGTCCTGAAGTGGGCTGCTGCTGTGCCCATCTGGAACTTCTCACTGAAACCCTTCCAGAAATCCTCCCAGGAAACAGTAGCTGGTAAGGAGGAGACAGCTGGGAGGGAGAGGGCAGCGGCTCCCCATGCAGGACTGGCACCCAGGGACCCAGGAGATTTGGAGAGAATGAGCAGGGAAACACAATGAAAGGCAGCAAAGAGGGAAACTCCTTCCCATCCCCTGCTATCTGAGGAGACTGAATTGAGTGCCCATGGCCTGGGGATCAACCCCCCTTTTCTGTTAGTGATGCTCAGAAATGACAAGATAGGAAAGCAAGCTAGGATGCTCTAGTCAACTTGATCTCCTGGGAAACATAGATTTCCCAGCAGACTTTGTATTCAAGTCAGCCCTCCTCCCAGCTGCTTCCCAGAAAGGAACACCTCTGCTCCCAGAAGATACTTCCCTGAGAATCTTCTAGCTTTAACACTTGTTTGTGGATTCTTTGTTTGCTTTGCTTTGCCATTTTAAAGGAGAATACAGGGATGCCTGGGTGGCTCAGAGGCTGAGCGTCTGCCTTCGGCTCAGGGCATGATCCTGGGATCCAGGATTGAGTCCCGCATCAGGCTCCCTGCATGGAGCCTACTTCTCCCTCTGCCTGTGTCTCTGCCTCTCTCTCTCTCTCTGTGACTATCATAAATAAATAAATAAATACATACATACATACATACATACATACATACATACATACATACAAAACAAAGCCTTACAAGAGTATTGTTCTAAACACTCTGGCGTCAGTCCAGGGTTCAAATTTTAGACCTAACCTCTGAAATGAGATTTTTCCCTAATCTTTCTGCCCATCAGGCTAGATGAAGTGATATTCTTATGCTTCCAAAGAACTCAAAACAAAACAAAAAATAATAAATTATCATAGCCCTAACCAGGTTGTTTTATCATGTGAGGTCTTTCTTTCCTACTGGGACCACAAATGCCAGGTGAGCAGGGTCTGCACCTTTTGTCTTACTTGAAACTGAATTCTGTGTCCAGCACATCTGCATGTACTGCACGTCCCTGCCCATTCTTCAGGATTGCCTAGGGCTTGGGCAATCTCCCAAATTAATCCCAACCCATTCCTCCCTCTTGATGGGATGAAATAAACTAAGCCTCTAATCAAGTCATCTAAACTACAAGCCCAGAACAAATGGAAGTGAAAACCCATCTACGCCTTCTCTGACCTGCACAGAAGAAATGAACCCCATTATTCCAGAGCCAGCAGCCCCAGGGAATAGGAATGAGTAGTTCTGACTTGAACCACTGGTCACCACCCTCCCCACTCCCCACTACTCCCACACTTGCCCAAGGAAAGACTAGCTGACACAGGTGGACACACAAACAGGATCAAAACATTTTAGGAGGTAAAACAATCAAATGGAATTGCTTTACATCTCTCTGTCCCCTACTGCCCTATTTTTGGAGGGCAGAAGTAAGCTTTCCTGAATCAGGGTTTGGCTTTCAGGGCCCACCATTTCCCTGCTCCAGGGAAAAGTCTCACAGAAAGTAAAAGAGCTCTACCTTGACCATTTCCCACAAAGGTCATGGCCACTAGCCCTTAGACTCTAAATATTACTACCTCTCCCCTCCCTAGGGATGGTGGAATATGAGCTCTCTTTCCCAGGTGACTTAATTCCCCCTTTCTAACACACATGCACACACACACACACACACACATACGCACACCCACACAAGGAACTACATCAAAACTGCAGTTCACACTGTTATTGATTCAACACACGGAGTTCCCTGTTACCCAGAGAATAGAAGGATAAGGGAAGTTTCCTAAAAGAACCTTGTTCTCCGGGGGAGGGGCAAGATGGCGGAAGAGCAGGGTCCCCAAATCACCTGTCCCCACCAAATTACCTAGATAACCTTCAAACCATCCTGAAAATTTACGAATTCGGCCTGAGATGTAAAGAGAGACCAGCTGGAATGCTACAGTGAGAAAAGTTCGCGCTTCTATCAAGGTAGGAAGACGGGGAAAAAGAAATAAAGGAACAAAAGGCCTCCGAGGGGGAGGGGCCCCGCGAGGAGCCGGGCTGAGGCCGGGGCGAGTGTCCCCAGGACAGGAGAGCCCCGTCCCGGAGGAGCAGGAGCTGCACCAACCTTCCCGGGCGGGCGGAAAGGGGCTCGCAGGGAGTTGGAGCAGGACCCAGGAGAGCGGGG